TCAGCAGTTTTCATTTTCCCATTTTGGCAAGCATAGAGATAACTCAGAAATCTGTCCTTGGCTCTGAAAGGGGAGGAAGATCCAGGACACACATGGAATAAAGCAAAAGCCAATTTAATACTGATGTCCTTTATCCAGAGATGAAGGGGAGACATCACTTGACCTTTAAGTATTATTGGAGGGCCACAAAACCAAAAGATAGTGGTTAAGGGACAAAGGAAGTGGGCTGAGAGTAACAGCATGGACATTCGGTATTCAGTACAGTGGAGAATTGACAAGATGAATTTGAGTTTGAGAAGGTGTCAGCTCGGTAATAAGAGTTTCAGTTATAACTTTTTCATTAGCTTAAAAGAAAAAGTTGTTGATGTTTAACATTAGTTCTAATAATCTAAGAAGTACCAAATGTACACTGTGTTGAGATATTTTAGGCGGAGTAATCAAGACAAGGGGAGCATACTTTATTCACACTGTGACTAAACCTAGCACACTGCCAAAAAATAGGATTTGGAACAAATTTTGGAATAAAAACTACTCATCTGTTTTGCAAAAAAGAAATCAGAAGCACATCAGCGTAATCAGTAATTTTAAACTTGCCTGTGAAGTCAGGATACTGATCGCTAACAGATGCATAATATTTGCAAATTTCTTCCACAAAGTTGACAAGCTGTGTATCACAGGTCTCTGCTTGCTGCCCTGGAATATATGTTTCTGAAATTCTTTTTTAACTATGCTCATTACCAATAATTCTGGGTATCTTTGTTAAAGTCTATTGACTACTGTCTTAGTTATCTAATGCTGCTATAACAGAAATACCACAAGCGGATGGCTTTAACAAACAGAAGTTTATTCTCTCACAGTCTGGGAGGCTAGAAGTTCGAATTTAGGGTGCCAGCTCTGGGAAAGGCTTTCTCTCTCTGTTGGTTCTTAAGAAATGTCCTTGTCATCAATCTTTCCCTAGTCTAGGAGCTTCTTAGCACAGGGACCCTGGGTTCAAAGGACACACTCCCCTCCTGGCTCTTCATTCTTGGTGGCAAGAGGTCTCTCTCCTCTCTGCTCAATTCTCTCTTTTATTTCTCAAATAGATTATTTCTCAATATACAACCTAATCCTGTAGATTGAGTCCTGCCTCATTAACATAACTGCCTCTAATCCTGCCTCATTAATATCATAGAGGTAGGATTTACAACACATAGGAAAATCACAT